TTAAAGATAAACTTATAAATTTTAATATATTTTAAGTACATTTATAATAATATTTTTAAAAAATGAGTTGTTTCATGAGCTAACTGGTTGAGCCGAGACTAGCTTGAGCTTGGCTTGTTAGCACATTAACCCCAGCCCATAAACCACTTATTAAGCCGAGCCCGAGCACATTACAAGCCTAATCCTAACTGGAAATGCCAAAACTCTCTTTTATCCCAATAAGTATGCTGCCAATGCTCTTCTCTGCTCCGTCTCATCAGAGATTCATCTTCTCCGGCTCTATCTTTCATGGTATCCGCTTCGCTCCTCTTCATCAGATCCGTCATTGTACGATGATTTTTTTTCCACCTATGATGGCTCCGATGATCATAACCATCCTATTTCCTCTACTAATCCATCTCTTGTACAAACCACATTTCCAGAATCTGAGATCCAAATTCATGGCTCGGTGGCGCAGTAAATCTCCGAGAAATGAGGAAAAAATCATACTTCCATGCTAGAAATGGCATCCTCTTACTAACAGAAGCTTCCAACTTCAAAAATGGAACTGAAACCAGGCACTTTCTTAATGTCCATTTCTCGCATCATTCTCCTAACACAAATAACTTCATCCCATCGTCTTCTGATTGCATAAGCATCAGAAAGAAGCAAGTATCCACATGAATCATCAGCAAATAGCTTAATAACATTGGCAGACATGAGCTCTCCCAGTTCCCTATCTCCATGAGTTCTGCAGGCACTGAACAACGCCACCCATATCACACTATCAGGCTTCATGGGCATGAATCTGATGACTTCCATGGCCTCCTTAAACCTCCCTGCTTTCCCATAAAGATCGACGATGCACCCATAATGCTTCAAACTCGGCATGATTCCATAATCTCTGCTCATCTGTGTAAAATAATGAACCCCATTCTCAACCAGTCCGGCATGGACGCAGGCTTGCAGGACACCGAGGAATGTGACTCCATTGGGCCTCACATTGAGCTCTTGCTTCATTTGTTCAAAGAAGTCCACAGCTTTGGCTCCATAGCCATTGTTTGCCAGTCCAAAAATCAAGCAGTTCCATGATGCTACGTTCTTAGCGGGCATTGCAGAGAAAACATCCGTGGCTGTTTCAATCAGTCCACAATTAGAATAGATATGAATGAGGCTAGTTCCAAGCGAAAAGTTCAGCTCCAAGCCACTTACCACTATGTGGCTGTGCATGGCCCGGCCGATGTCCAGTTTGCCATGCTCAGCGCATGATGAGAGAATGCTAACTAAAGTCCCATTGCTTGGGAAAATATAAGACCTGCACATCACAGAAAACAACTTCAAGCCTGGCATCAACTCTCCATGGGTAAGAAAAGCATGGATCATTGCACCCCAGGAAACATTGCTTTTATTAGGCATTTGATCGAACATCTGTTGGGCATCACGCAGAGACCCGCAGCGACCATACAGGTGAACCAGCGACGTAGATGAGTGCATGGCGAGGTTGAGTCCATACTTAATGAGGTGGGCATGGAGCTGCCAACCATGGAGGAGAGCCAGGTTTTGGGAGCAGCAATCAAAAAGGAAGCAGAAGGTGTACTCATTGGGGTGGAGGCCCCTCAGGAGCAGGTTTTGATACAAAGGGAAGGATTTGAGAGGGTAAGATGTTTGAGAGAGTAACTTTATGGCTATGTTGTAGGAAAATAAATCGGGGTAATCGAGTTGGGAGAAGAGGAGGAGGGTGAGATGGGAGCTGAGGAAGGTGGAGGAGGATTTGAGAAGATGATTTGCTGCAAAGGTGGAGCGGAGGAGGCCTGAGGTAATGAAATGGGCATGTATTTGGTCGAATTGGTGGAGGACAGGGCATGAGCTTAGTCTAAAGAGAAGTGAAGAAAGACTGGACATCGGCGGTGAGTGTGGCAGCTGAGATGGTTCATGTTTGTGGTTTTGGCTGCGGAGTGGCTGAAAGGAGATTGGGA